CTCAAAATACCAAAAAAAAAAAAATCACAAAAATACATAAACACATGGAAATTAAACAATAGCCTTCTGAATAACCAATGAGTCACAGAGGAAATTAAAGATGAAATTAAATAGTATCTGTGCTTAAATGATAAAGCCAATACAGCATATCAGAACTTGTGGGACACAATGAAAGCAGTCCTAAGAGAGAAATTTACAGCAATGAACTCTTACATCAGGAAAACAGAATGAGCTCAAATAAATAACCTAATGTTGAATCTCAAACTTCTAGAAAAAGAACAAATCAAACCCAAAGCTCATCCAAGGGAGAAAATTATAAAAATAAGAGCAGAAATTAATGCAAAGAAGACTAAGAAAATAATACAAAGAATCAATGAATCAAAAAGTTGATTCTTTGAAAGAATAAACAAAATTGACAAACCACTAGCCAACCTCATCAAAAAAAAGGAAACAAAAAAACAAATTCAAGCAATTAGGAATGAAAAGAGAGAAATCACCACAGATCCTACAGAAACCCAGAAGATCCTCAATACCTAATTTGAAAATCTGTACTTAAGTTAGAAAACACAGAATAAATCAACAGAATCCTAGACACCATCAAATTACCAAAACTAAATCTAAAAGACATAAAATGATTAAGTAACACAATATCAGCCAATGAAATTGAAAATGTAATTAAAAATTTACCAACAAAGAAAAATGTATTCACTGTTGAATTCTATAAGAAATTTAGAGAATTAGTACAGCTAATGCTGAAATGGAACTTAAGGAAAAGCAGTATTCCCAAAATCATTTCTGAAAGCAAGTATTATCCTGATACTAAAACCAGAGAAATATTCCACCAGAAAAGAAAACAATTTCTCTAATGACTTAAATGCAAAATTCTTTAGTAAGATACTGGCAAACAAAATGCAGCAAATCACCAAGAATATTATACACCATCACCAAGTATGATTTAGGGATTCAGGGATGGTTCAACATATTCAAATCAATAAATGTAATATGCCATATTCATAGAGTCAAAGACAAAAATCACATGACCATCTCAATAGATGCACAAAAAGTATTGGACCAAGTCCAACATCCTTTCGTGATAAAATTCGACAGAAAAGTAGAAGAGACAGTCTTTATCTCAATCTGATAAAAGCCATCTAGGACAAACCAATAGCTAACATCATACTAAATGACCAAAAACTGAAAGTTTTCACTCTAAACTCAAAAAGAAGACAAGGATGTCCACTATCACCACTCCTGCTACATATAGTTCTGAAACATTAGCCAGAGCAATTAGACAAAAGAAAGAAATAAAAAGAATAACAATAGGAAAGGAAGAAGTTAAATTATCATTATTTGCAGATGATATGATACTCTACATAGAAGACCCAAAAAAAAGTCACCAAAAGACTTCTTGATTTGGCTGACCTAGGAGAAACAAGAAGGAGGGTACACAGCCCCCTGTGTGCCAGTGGTGGCCCTGACAGCCAGGGAGCACCAGGAAGAAGGCTGGGCTCACCCCCAGTGAGACAGGAGCACAGGCTGGGAGAGGAGAAGCCCCTCCTCATCCCTAACACCCCTCGCAGTAAACAAGCAGCTGATTTTGGAGTATCACACACACAAATTATTGTTACTCTCCTATTATCTTGTTTTGAAATTCTTCTTTTTTTCCCTTTAAAATAAAAAAAATCTAAAAATAAAAATAAGTAAATAGATAAAAATAATGCTCTACCCCCCAAAAATAATAATAATAGAAGAAAAAGAATGACTTCATCTATCTGATCTTTGACAAAGAGTCCAAAAACATACACTGGAGGAAAGAGAGCCTCTTTAATAAATGCTGCTAGAAAAACTGGGTATCTGCATGCAGAAAATTGAATCTGGACCCATGTGTCTCACTGTGTATTAAAATAAAATAAAAATGGATTAAAGATCTAGATGTTAAAACAGAAAAAATCTGCTGGAAGATAAAACGGGTAAAACTCTTGAAGTCATAGGCATAAGGAAGGACTTGCTGAACAGAATCCCAATTGCACAAAAAAATGGTATCAAGAATCAACAAATAGGACTATAACCATAAATAGAAGAAAAAATAAAATTATATAAAATTTAAAACTTCTAGGATGTAGCTCAGTGCCACAAGTGCCTGCCTGGCAAGCTTGAGGTTATGAGTTCAATATCTAGTAAAAAAAAAAAAAATTAAAAACCTTTACACAGCAAAGGAACAAACAGAGTGAAGACAATATGCAGAATGGGGAAAAAATTATCATCTATTCCTTAGACAAATGACTAACATCTAGAATATATGAAAAGCTCAAAAAATTAGATTCCCAAAATAAAAGACCAATAATACTCATCATAGACATGGGTTTTCTCTCTTTCTCTCTGTTTCTGTCTCTCTCTCTCTCTGTCTCTCTCTCTCTCTGTCTCTGTCTCTCTCTTTCTCTCTCTTTCTCTCTCTCTTTCTTTCTCTCTCTCTCTCCCCTCCTCTCTCTCCACCCTCTTTCCCCATAGGGACTGAACCCAGGGCCTCATGCATGTTAACCATGTGCTCTACCAGTAAGCTACAAGTTTAGTGTAGTTTACTGGGCAATTTAGTGATTTAGCAGAACCTTGTCTCAAAAAAAAAAAAAAAATCTGAGGATGTAGCTCAATAGAAAGGCCCTGGGTTCAATCCCAGCACTGAAAAAATAAAATAAAAACACTTACTGCATTTGGGGGAGGGGGAAGGCTGAGGTAGTTTTCTTATTTTTGTTGTTGTTATTTTGTTTTGTTTATGGTGCCAGGTATCAAACTCATGACCTTGAGGTTACCATTAGCACTTTGTCACTGAGCTATATCCCCAGTCCCCCGGGAGGTAGTTTTTTGAGACAAGGTCTTGCTAGATGGTTCAGGCTGGCCTTGAACTCACAGCGATCCTCCTGCCTCAGCCTCCCAGGATGCTGGGATTACGGCATGTGCCACTATGCTTGGCCAAAGCACCTACTTCGTGCATCTAAGAGCTGAAGTCAACCCTACCTTGCCAAATTAACCTGAGTCCAAAAAGAGCAGACACCACGTAGCATTAAACATCCAAGGACTTCACCAGGGGAAACACCTTTGTTAGAAGAAATAGAGGCAAGATGGCCACTTCCCAACACCGAGTGAAGGACAATGGGAAAGAAGTCTCAGTGGAAGGCTCTGGGCCCCACTGCAAGAAAGATTAGAGCCGAAGTCAGCCTCTAAAGGAAAGCCTGTCTCCCCGAAGTGTTACTCAGGCCCTGGCGGGGAACACCTATGCAAATTATGGCACAAGCACAGGGCTGAGTTTCACAGCCAGCAGCAGTTTTTTGGTCAATTATGTCCCAAGAAAGAGGTCCATAAGGCGCATTCTCATGACATTTGCCACCCCATGGGTAACAAGCAGAGCTAAGCACTAGCCAAACAGCCAGCAGAGGAGGCAGGAAGGGGCCAACACTGTGTAAGTACAAAACCCAAAGGGAATAGCAAAACTGAGAAGCATGCATAATATCAATTCCACCACATTGCTGTACCCTATTCTGTCCTTTTCAATTAAATTTGGGAGCCCCTGAAAAGATCCTCCCCCACCCCCTCTCCCAGACATGCAATTAGCAGGCTTCTTTCTGCAGTTTGATCACAAAGGGAAAAGAGCTTTAAAAAGCTTTAAAATTGCTAAATCACTGGGTGTGACAGTTAAAATGCACTGTCGATTGGATTGGTCTGAGGTCTGCCCAGGTGCTAGTACAGCCACCTGGGTGGGTCATGGAGCTGTGGCCGTGGGTACTACCTCTGGTCCCTGGCCCCTTCCTCTCTGCCCATTCTGCTGCTCCGCTTCCTGTCCACCATGACCTGAGCAGCCTCACACCTTAGCCATGATGGACCCGCCTTGAGCCAGCTGGTTATGAAGGGAGTCCACTGAAACCGTGACCCAAATAAACCTCTCCTCCTTCAAGCGGTGGGTGTCAGGAAGGGGGTCGCTCACTAACACACTGGGGTTCTCAGCAGAGTGGTCCAGCCAGCTCACTGTACAGAGTAGCCATAGCTGACCAATTCAACTCATTCACAGTTTTCCAAACAGCGGTTCAGGCCCTATTCTGAAGCAGGAACCAAAGACTGCCAACAGAAAAGCCCCTAACACAGAAAACTGATGCCAAAGCCACAAGGGGGAAGGAAGCAAGTTGGCACAAACAGGATCTATTCTTAGAAAAGAAAATGCCTAAAAACCTACTGATCTCTTCAAAGATAGAAGATGGGGCCCCCCAAAATTAAGAAAGGAACACTGGGGGTGGGGGTTTTAGCTCAGCGGGCGTAAGTGCCTGCTTGGCAAATGTGAGGTCATGAGTTCGATCCCCAGCACCAAAAAAAAAAAAAAAGAAAAAGAAAAGGAAAGGAACACACAGAATAAAAGAGAGGTCTTAGAAAATAAAAGAAGGGCCAGGGGTGTAGCTCAGTGGCACAGTGCCTGCCTGACAAGCACAAGGTCCTGAGCTCAATTCCCAGTCCAAAAAAATAAGGTATAAAAAAAGAAAAACAAAAAATTCAATAGGTGGGTAGACAGGAAAAGTGAGGAACACCTCCTGAAATTAGAAAACACAAGGCACTGTAATCCCAATACTGGGGAGGCTGAGGCAGGGGGAACCCTGCCAGTTAGAGGCCAGCCTGGGCTACACAGAGATTTCAAAATGAGCCTGAGCTACAGACATAGTGAGACCGTGTCTCTACACAAAACAAAACAACACCACACAAGCAGCTGTTCCCCTGACCACATGTATGTGAAGCAGCTGGAGCTGGCCTCTGCCTAGCCCTGCCAGACACCCCCAAAGTGAGAACCTCTTGTGCCCCAGGACTTCCTCAGAGCCCCCGCCCTTTGATCCTCATGGGGACCTTAAGAATTCTCAGAAACGCTGAACCAGGCATGACCCAGGGCCCGCCTGTCAGTGTGTTCTGGTTGCCACAACAAAGAAAACTCACCCTGGGTCAGTAAACAGCAGGCATTTATTACTCACTGTTAGGAAGAGGAGGAAGTCCAGGATCAAGGTCCAGGCCGGCTGGTGCAGGTGACTGAGTCCTTGCTTCATCCTCCTGTTTTAGAGAACAAGAGAGAGGAAGCAAACTTGCTTTTCTCTTCTTAGAAGGTTACTAATCTCACACTCTGTTACCTCCTGAGGCTCCATCTCCAAACAACATCACTTTGGGGTTTTAAATTACAATCTAAGCAACTGAAGAAGATACAAACATTCACTCAACCCAATGGACTGGCCTTCTTTCTTTACACAGCTAACTGTGCTTCTTATTTAGCTTTTTAAATCTAAATAGTATGTTCTTTAGAACTCAGCCAAGCATGGTGGTGCACACCTGTAATCCCAGCCCTTGGGAGGCCCAGGCAAGGGGAGGTCTGGGGGTTGGAGGCCAGCCAGGGTAACAAAGTGAGTTCAAGGCCGGCCTGAACTGCATAGTGAGACCCTGCCTAAAAAAAAGAAAAGAAAAATACAAAGGAAATTTATACACTGTGAGTTTAAAAGAAAGAAAGAAACAAATAATTGTCCTGAGGGACGATGAGAAGGTAACACAAGGTACTTCTTTTTTTTTTTTTTTTTTTGTACAGGGAATCAAACTCAGGACCTTGCCCTTGCCAGGCAGGCATTTAAACCACTGAGCCATATGCTCAGCCCACATAGGATATTTCTAAAACAATAGTAATGGCCTTTTTGGATGACAATTCACAATCATTCATCCATTAATATGCAATAATACACAATCATCCATTAATATTTAATAAACTGTAATATGTTGTGTATTTTGTGTCTGGATGATATTCTTCATATTTTAAGACAGATAGACTCTAGACTCACCTGATAAACGTAACTCTGATACCATGAATGCCAAGATATTTAGGAATAAATGGGGCATGGTGACACATGTCTATAATTCCAGCACTCTGCGAGCCTGAGGCAAGAGGACTGCAATTTGGAGCCCAGCCTGGGCATTTAGTAAGATACTGTCTCAAAGAAAGCATTTGTGTTCTTGATACCAAAAAAGAAAGAAAGAAAAAGAAAAAGAAGAAGAAGGGCTGGGTGTAGTTCAGGGTGAAGGTCCCGAGTTCAATCCCCAGCACTACCAGGAAGAAGAGAGAGAGAGAGAGAGAGAGAGAGAGAGAGAGAGAGAGAGAGAGAGAGAGGAAGAAGAAAGAGGAGAAGGAGGAGGAGAAAGAGGAGGAAAGAAAGAAGAAAGAAGCAAATAAGTACAGCCCACAGGCTGGCCATGTTGTGGTGCACACTTGTAATCCCAGCACACAGGAAGCAAGAGTTCAAGGCCATGAGTTCAAGGCTAGCCTGGGCTACATAGTGAGACCTTGTCTCAAAAAAATCAGAAACATTTTAAAATACAAAAAAAAAAAAAAAAAAAAAAAAGGAGGAGGAGGAGGGAAGGAAATTTAGGAGTACAAAGAACAAAACATTGTAAAACACAATCTGAATCTAGAACTTTGCTCTTTGCTCCACTAATGAACTTTGGTACTGCAAATAATCCAGAACAGAAAAAGTTGACTGTACTACACTTAGATAAAAAGCCAAATGCTTGCTTCAATGTCTTTCATGAAAACTGAATTCCTATTTTTACCTAGTAGATTATGCGCATTCCCGACCATCTCCTGGGATCCCTTTTTGACCCTCTTGGATTCCTCTAGATCAGGCCCCAAAAGCAGTTCTTTTTTGCGGAGTGTGGTGGTACATGTGATTCCAGCACTCTGGGAAACTGAGGCAGGAGGATAGAAAGCTTGAGCCAGGCCTGGGTAATATGGCAACTCAGTGAGACCTGTTCCAAACAAAACTGTTTTAAAACAGACAAGGAGGTGCGTCGGTGGGAAGGTCCTGGGTCCAGGGCACTGTAATGTAAAGAGACGAAGGGCGAGGAGGAACCGCTGCCTGGGGCTTATTTTGGCTGCTGGTAACTGTCTTGGCTTTCAAAAGAGTATGCAAAGAGGGCCGCTCTACCTTCGCACACGGTCACCATGCTTTGCAACTTTCGTACCAGTGTACACGCCAGGACTCCGCCAAGAGCGGCTGTTACAGCCCTAAACTGTGAACGTGAATCTGGGCCCATGCAGAGGTCATCAACTGCACCAAGGCCTGGGAGCTGATTGTGAGGACTACAGATCTGACTGCAAAGCTACCTTGTATTGCAGCAAAGACCAACCGCAGTCCTCACCACGAGGGCCATGGCATCAGGGCCGCTGACTGTAAATGACCTGGTTCCATAACTCCACAACAGGTGAGGCTCTACTGAGGCCCAGTTCACAAGCAATGCACTTACACATCACCGTCCACAGTGACCATGAAGGTGGCCATGTAAGTGCCCACGTCAGCCACTTGGTGGGCACTGCCCTCTCAGACCCTTCCAGATCATTTGCAGCAGCCCTGAGTGGGCTGTTGAATCAGGGATGGGGAAGCAGGAAGTGCTCATCCCCCTAACACAGTACAGAGGGAAGTCGCCACAATGTGTCCATGAGAAGTCACAAGACAGGGCTGGGGATTTAGCTCAGAGGCATAAGCACCTGCCTTGCAAGCAGGGGGTCACGAATTTGATCCCCAGTACTGATAAAAAAAAAAAAAAGAAAGAAAGAAAGAAAGAAAAAAGAAAAGAAAAGTTACAAGACCACTTCTGAAACACACTCCACTCAGTACTGAGGAAGACTGATCCACAGTATTCCTGAGAGCCAGAGTTTGCTCTGAGACACCTACCCAATGACCCCAAGGTTAAGTTGTTTGCTCAGCTGTGTAGGATTGTGCCCAATATCATCTTAGAGCAGGGCAAGGCCAACACAGATGCTCACAGGGTGGGGAGAGGAAGGGTGCTGTGCCACACCGCGGCACAGAGGAGATGAATTATTATTATTATGAAGTCTGTTTGGAGAATCACAGGCGCCAGGTATGCTAGCCTGGAGCTGAGCCTCAGGCTTCCCCCTAGAAAGTCCCAAATCCACCAGCACAGGGGCACAGATGCACCTATGAAGGCACAGATGAAGTTTGTGGATACTAAATCCAGACAAAAATTGGAGACCAGAGGGAAACTGACTCCTGGAAGATAAGGAAGGTTAATGAAAATAATAGTATTCTTCTATTTTATTTCAGGGTGTTTTTTTTTTTTTTTAAAGACTTGCGATGAAATTGTATCTAAGGCACCAAAAATATATCTGAAGTTAAAATATAAGTTAAGAGTTTACAAGATGAAAAGGGATCTCTTCTCCCTGACCAGCTCCCTTTCTTTGCCTGGTAGGAGTTGACTGCCAGCTGCAGGATGACCAGGATTAGCATGTGTGACATGAGCTGGCCTGGGGCCCCACCATCTCTAGGGAGAGAATCTGGCTTCTCTTTCCCCGGGGTCAAAGCAGGTTGCAGACAGTCTGCAGTCGCTCTGGTGCTTTTCCTCCTACCTGGCCCAGTCCGCGAGGCCAGCAAACCAGCACTCTGCCCCTTTTGTTCCCCTCGAGATCATTTTGGGGTTACCGTCTGTACCAAGCCCTTACCCATGCACACCGACTTCTCTAGCAAGACCTCTGGGTTGGCTGCACCTGCTTTGGTAGTTTTTTCTTATGCTACCAGATAACCCTGAAGCGATGACATTTGTTATGACTGGCTTCTTGCTTTTGATTTGATTTTCCCTTTTTAAATTACCTCATTAAAATAAAGGTCTGCAAGTGCTGTGTTTGCCACCATTTCAGTGCCTCACTCCAGATTTCATCTGCCTCAAGCTGAGAGCACCCTGCACCTTTCGCTCTCAGTCCCTAGCAAGAGATCTGTCTGATCTGTGGTCTTTCCCGATCACTGGACTTTAACAGTATAGCTGTGAACTGAGTTTTTTACTTCTGCAGAATGCAAGCCACTATTATCTGGCCTTTCTTCTCCTGTTAATATATTATAGGGCAAGCTAGATGGAAACTACACTGCTTCTCTCCTGCAGCTGGGGACACCCTTTCAGAGGGGAAGTAGTACAGACAGCTAAGTTAGGCAGACGTGTAGTAGGCAGTCAGACGGGGCTGGGCCCTCAAGGGAGTCAGTGCAGAAGCTGAGAATGATGGAAACTGTGGCTGAGCCGCAAGTCACCATGGGTAGGTTTACATGCCTCCCCGAGGGGTGAACGGAGGCTCTGGAGTATTGGTGTCACCCTTCTGCGAGTTCCCGTTTCTCACTAGTGGTGGGCCATCCTCTCTCACCCACTAAGACTAAGACCACCAAGACCAAACCTGAAACTACTAAAATGAAAAGAAGACCAAGACTGCAGATTATCAACAAGGTTAATGGTGCCGCTTATGTGCCCTTGCGACCATTGGATCAATATTACCTAAGCGACTATACTTACAATCTTATTGGTTGATTATAATTTTGACCTGCATTATACCCACCTCATGATTTTGCTTTATAAAACTTCCTATGAGAGGTGGGCTCGTTGGCACCCACTTGGGACCCCTCCTGTCTCTCAGGAGCTATCGTGAGTCCTCATTCCTTTCCTCCAATACATTTGCCTACTCTTAAAAATCAGTATGTTAAAGACATAGAACAGAGGCTCAGGAATGGACAGCCCTTTGGAATCAAGTCTCAAGCATTTTCTTTTGAGCAGAAAAATAATTCAAGATTGGATATGGGCTCCTTTGAATACTAGAATTGATTCATAGTGCAATGCTAAGATCCAGGAGACTGGGTTTAAGGGTGTGCGTGCTACCCATCCTAAGTAGCCTGGATAAGACACAAAGGACAGAAAGAGCTGTGGCCGCCCCTCGTTGTTTTGCTGCCTTCAGCCCACCATGAACTGCTTCTTCTCTGCGAGGCCTGTCTGCCATCAGCCACTCTGCCTTGGAGCCAGTCGGGTATTTTGTCTCAGCAATAAAAAATGTAACTAAGAACAACAAGCAACACTAAAAAATGATGAAAGCAGAGCCAGGGATATATAGCTCAGCAGCACAGCACCTGCCTGGCAAACATAAGGTGGTCCTGAGTTCAATTCCTAGTACTGAAAAAATAAAATAAACCAGGTGTGGTGGTGCACGCCTATAATCCGAGTATTCAGGGAGGCTGAGGCAGGAGGAC